TGTGTACGTATGTACGCATGCTTGCACATGTTGTTTAACTTTTAGTCTTTTAAAAAATCCCAATTATGAACATGCAAATGTAGTTTTTCGTTGCCTGAGCATAAGGGTGGAAGAACAGGTTTGTACTGCTGTCATGCATCTCTCTGGTTGGGATCCAGTGTAAGGGGAAAGGAAAAATGAAATGAAATGAAATGATTACACTAATTAAATTTAGAGTGGGAAGACTTATGGCCGGCTTATCATTACTGGGGAGGAAACAGCAGTCACAACCACATTTCCCTAAGAGGCAGAAAGCACTCAGTTAGTTTCTTTACAAGGTTTCAAACCAGGTTTGGTGCAGGCCAAATAGGGCTGCTTGAAGTCAGTATTCAATTTGGATGAGAGGATTGCACCAAATGGCATACTGAACCTCCTAGTGATACTGTCTAGTTTATCCCGCTCCAAGCCTTGTGTTGGCAACCCGATCACTATTTTTTACTGTGTTGTGTCATTCTGGAACACTGTTGTGGGGGCTGTGAGTCAGCCACAAAAACAAAAACAAAACATCCTTGGGGGAAAACAGCCGCCTATTTGTAGGGGAATACAGGGGTGGGGTGGGGGAGGAAAAAACAGAATGTTTCTCAGAAAAAAATTCTTCTGAAAAATTGTGGCACATTATTTGTTTCCATTCTTCGGGAATTGACATCTTCTCTTAAAGTCTCTGACATGTTACATCTTGCAGAAGTCCATGTATACATATCTTACCTCTACTACAAATGCTCCTATTAAACTGCCTTTCCTGTGAAGTTCTGCTGCAGTAGGAAGGATGCAGTATTGTGTCCTATTCCAGAAAAGAGGTGGAGCTAGTTCTGTGCTAAAGTTTGTCCTTTAACTTCCAAAGTTTCATGGTTCCAGAAAGAGACTTCGTTTTCCTGTATCATTTTCAGGACCCTTTAGAGCAGTGGTCCCCAATCTTGGGCCTCCAGATGTTCTTGGACTACAACTCCCAGAAGCTTTCACCACCACCTCTG